ACAGACCAAAAACATGCATGTTAGGCTGATTGGTAACTCTAAATTGTCCCTAGGTGTGAGTGAGAGAGTGAATGGTTGTTTGTCTCGTTTGTCTCTATGTGTCCCTGTGATGGACTTGCGACCTGTCCAGGGTGTACCCCGCCCCTCGCACAGTGATTGCTGGACATGGGCACCGGCGACCCCCGTGACCCAAAACAGAATAAATGGGTAAAGAAAATGGATGGATGGATGTTAAAAGAAGAGATACAGCCTTTAGTTCAACTTTATTCTAACCCACAGATGTACTATTCATAAACCAAGAATTAAACTTTAAAGCAAAGCTAAAAATATATATACATGTATGTATATATACATATATATAAGAGATGTTATGGATGCTGATGGCTGTAGGCAGGAAGGATCTCTTGTAAAGGTCCGTCCCACAGTGGATCCTAAGAAACTGGCTGCAGATGCTGTCCGATCCGTCCACCAGTGGACGCCGGTGTGTAGGGCTGCCCGTCTCTCGCTCTCTGCTTGTATTTTATTTTTGTTATTTTTACAATGGTTTGTGCAGTGTGCCGAGTCATATTTTCAGTATGATCGTCGGGCACTTTTGGAGCTCCGTACATTTGCTGAAATTCCCGCCGAGTTTTTGAACAGCGGTCAGCACTCTCCTCCACCGGTCCTATCTGAGATTCCTGCATTTCTTCTGCGTGACCCTGGCCTTTCTCCATGGAGGAAACGTCGCAGACGTCGTGGGAAGCGTGCAGGGATTTTGGTGAAACTGAGGCAAAGTGTGGATTATTCTATCAGGATTCGCTCTGGATCTGATCATCTCCTCTCTGACCCATGGTGCTCCCGGGGCCCGGCTGCTGGCCAGCTGCCCGCACGCTCAGTCCATGGAAACACCTGGAGTTGTTTACCTGTGCGCCACACCAGCAGACCTGGAGGAGTCGTTCTTCATAACCTGCGCCCGCTGGCGTGCGCGTCTCCCTCCTCGGCTGTGCCTGTGTTGGACCATATCAGGATGTGTTTAATCAACGCAAGGTCTGTTTCCAACAAGACGTTTATCCTCAATGACTTTTTTAAAGATCAGGAGTTGGATTTTCTGTTCGTCATGGAATCTTGGATTTCTGATGGTGAGTCCAGCGCCTTGGTGGAACTACTACCCCCGGACAGTCTGTGTTTCAATGCCCCGCGGCCATCAGGTCGGCGCGGGGGGGGGGGGGGGGGG